AGCTCACGGGCACCTCCTACTCGTGTGGGGCCTGCGACGGGAAGGGCACGCCTTTGCGCCTTCCCTTGAAACCCGCGTCTGAGAAGCGTACGGACGACGGTGGTCCCCGAAGCGGAGTCGCCTCGGTGTCTTTGAGCGAGTGGACGGGTCCGGAGCTGCCGGAGCTGCGGGAGTCGAGGCCGGGAGCCGGGAGAGTGGTTTCGATCAAGTTTAAGTGTTGCCGACGTCGCCGTTATTTTAAATGTTTGGGTTGTTTTTTCCCCTCTTTTCCTACCTCGGTTACGAATACTGGGCGGCTCCTGGGTTCCAGTGAAACGACCGCCCAGTAAACACGTCCAGCCCTTAGTCCCGGGGTCGGATCGTCTCGCGTCATCGCGGAGAAACAGGAAGCCGGCTCTCCGGGCAGAAGCGACGGGTGAAAACTCGGGGGAGACGGTTAGGTTTGCGCTTTCGCTGGGCTGATGAGGGCGGGAAGGCCGATGGGGCCCGTCTAGCAAAACACAGGCGCGCGCATAGGAAGGGTGCCCCGCCGTCCTTTCCGAAAACCGCTGGTTGTCGAGTCCGGTTTCCCCCCAGGTTTATACGAGGAGGGGAGCGTTTTTTCAGAAATAAAAGACATTCAGCAGCTTCCTGTGAAGGAGGTGTGTGCTTCACGCCCGCGTCCCTGTATCTATGACGCATCATCATTTCTTTTAAAAAATGGCTCCTCGGTCTTGGGTGGTGGCTCCGTGGTTAGAGCAGCGACGGCGAACCTTTTGAGCTCGGCGTGTCAGCGTTTTGGAAAACCCTAACTGAACTCTGGTGCCGTGTCACATACAGAAATTTTTTGATATTTGCAACCATAGTAAAACAAAGACTTATATTTTTGATATTTAAATGCCATTTAACAAAGAAAAATCAACCAAAAAAATGAGTTCGAGTGTCACCTCTGACACAGGTTCGCCATCACTGGGTTAGAGGAGTGTCGGCCCTTTCGTTCCCTGGCCCATGGCGGGGTGCGTGCGGGAGGCAACCAGCTTATGTGTCTCTCTCACATCAGCGTCTCCCTCCCTCCCTCCTCTCTCTAAAAATCAATGGAAAAAGTATCTTCGGGTGAAGATTCACAAACAACCCTCCACAGTTTCCCACCCCATTTAATTCCTGCCCAGGGCCCTGGAGGGCGCCGCCGTGGGGAGAGGCGTGGCTCCCCGACTGCACACACACACACACACACACACACACACACACACACCGTGTCCGCCTGCGGGGTGATAGGACGTGTTCTGTTTTTCTACATCAGGTACCGCGGGCAGGACTAGGTCGGGAAGAGCTTAGAGGGAATTTTCTTCCTCGGGGCCGTGGGGGGCGGGCGCCATGCCCCACCTGTGGCAACGGAACCCGTGGGCTCTGTGAGTCCTCGTCG